TCTCATTGTTAAGATCGTGTTCCGGATCTTTGCTTAGTTGATCCCTACTCTTTGTGCATGTGCTTCCACTAAGTCTAGTCTCTCATTGTCAAGTTTATGTTCCAGATCTTTGCTTAGTTGATTTCTTATTATTGTGCATGTACTTTTCACTAGTCTAGTCTTTCATTGTGAAGTTCATTTTTTGATGTGAAATTCCGGATCTTTACTTCGTTGATCTCTACTCTTTGTGCATGTGCTTTCCACTAGTTTAGTCCCTCATTGTCAAGATCGTGTTCCGGATCTTTGCTTAGTTGATCTCTTCTCTTTGTGCATGTACTTGCACTAGTCTAGTCTTTCATTGACAAGTTCATATTCCGGATCTTTACTTTGTTGATCTCCTCTCTTTGTGCGTGTGCTTCCACTAGTCTAGCCTCTCTTTGTCAAGTTTATATGTTGGATCTTTAGTTCGTTGATCTCTACTCTTTGTGCATGTGCTTCTACTAGTCTAGTCTCTCATTGTCAAGTTCATGTTCCGGATCTTTGCTTTGTTGATCTCTTCTCTTTGTGCATGTGTTTCCACTAGTCTAGCCTCTCATTGTCAAATTCAAGTTGGATGTGATGTTCCGGACTTTACTTAGTTAATCTCTGCTCTTTGTGCATGTGCTTTCCACTAGTCTAGCCTCTCATTGTCAAGTTCATGTTTGATGAGATGTTCCGGGTCTTGTTTAGATGATCTTCTTCTCTATGAGTATGTGTTTTGTTTTGGTCTATTTCTCATTGTCATGTTATTCCAAGATATACTCATTCAATCTCTCACTATGGGACGGGTGATCGATGTTTGGTTACTACTACGAGGAGCTGATTTGATTGGGAGTTCTTCTTGTGTTCTCTCCCTCTCTCTCTCTCCCTCTCTCTTGCCTCTCTCTCCCCCACGCTATCTCCCCTCCTCTCTCCCTTCGCCTTGCCCCTCTCTCTCCCTTCCCCTCACTTGGCATATGACTAACCACTCTCCCCTCACTTGTTACATTGCCAGGGTGCGAACAGTAAAGAGAGACCAGACCTCATTTGGTGGAGAGAGAGGGCAAGGGAGGGATAGCCGGTCCCTTGTGCCACCAAGAAGGCAAAGAAAAAAGAAAAAAAAGTGGCGTTGGGAGAAGGTGGAAAAAGGACAAGATCCGGAGAAAGCATAAGTCGAGAGAGAGGTGAGTTTGACTCAACCATTTCCCCGACTGTATGACTATGTGAAGAGGATGGGCTGATTGAACAACAAAAAGGGAACAAAGCACAACCAAAGAGCATGGAAAGGATAGGCATGTGGGAAGGGCTATATGTTGATCCCCAACGGGGGACATTGTATGAATCGTCTTGCTTGTGTGGGATTGTGCAGGTGACTTATGACTAGAAATGCCTTGAGCGGGATAGGGGCGAGAGGAACTGGGCATCAAGAGGAAAAGGAAAAGGGGACGAAGGGGCTATGGGACCCTTGACATAGAGCCAACCCATGAAAATGACTTTTGCGCCTGAGACTTGGAAATGTGATTGAGAGTGCAATCATGCCAAGGAAAATGTGATGTTGTGTGTGCATGCAAATGAGGACCCCGAAAAGACTAAGGGGCCTACTTCAATAAGGTGAGAAGCAAATTGTGAGATCCGATGAATGCGTAGAGGCGAGGGAGAAAACGGCTCCGCCGCACCCCAATGACGCCATATATCCAAAATGCTTAGGGGAAATGGTGCTTAGCCTACGCACAAGAGAAGAGAAACACTCAAAGTATCCTTGGACTGCCTGCGTATTGGAAGGAGCAATTGCATGAGAACACCACAAAGAATCAAAAGAAAATCAGCATTGCGGGACGACCAGCGAGACTACCACCCGGCGTGAGGGCTGAGCTACATCCCCAATGTCAAAGCTCTTCGCGCGATGGCCCACCCCCATCCATCTCAAAGCACTAGGTGGGGGTGACCTCGGGACGAACGGCCCGCGCCGCAAGCATGAGTGTGGGCGGGCCGAGCCAACTGGGACCCGCAGTGGGGTCGACTAAGGTTCTACCGGGGTTTGGCCGTACAAAATTGGTGGAGGTGACGGGCATGGGGTTAAATTGACCCTTGCGATTCCGATGGGGGCGCCCGACGCATTGGACGTGTACACAACCCAAGATAAGAATAATGGACTTGTGTTTGCTCTTAGATCAGATTTGAGAGTGGCTGGGCGCATGGCATGGCCAGGCTTGGAGGTATAACATGCATGCAATGCACTTGATCAACCTTTCCTTTGAGGAACGGTTCTAGCCCTCCTTCATCCGGTGCTGGTGTTCGCCAGTCCGGGGAAGCCTTGGGCAAGTCGCAGGTCGACCCTTCCTCTTCGTATGAAAGAAGGGCTCCGGTTACCTGGCAGGCGGTTGGTGTTTGGCTTAGGCCAGGTTCCAATGAAAATCCCACGGCGGAGTGATCCGACCAAACGGGTGCCCTCCTATCTTCTTCTTTGAGTCCAGTGAGCTCATGCACTTTGCACTTTTTTTTGAAATGCTTGAAGGAACCAACATGAACACAACGGATCACCAAGAAGGAACAAACCTACCCTATGAAAGGATAGACAAGTGAAGAGAAGGGAAATGAAGGGAGTTGCTAGACTCCAAGGAAAACTAGCTCACCCTTGAAGATTTTCACGAGAAGGAACCAACCACTATGTATGAAGGTAGGGGGAGTGACACCCATTGTCCTGAGAGAAAATCTGTGAGTTATGGGTAGGAAGCGCTGGGTGCACCAAGGGAATGGCAGTTGTACTATGTGTGTCCCACTTGGGACTTGTGTTTGCATGATGAGATTCGAGCGTCCTACCTTTCGGAAGGAAAGGATTGGTCTGCACCGGCCAATGCGGGTTGCGAAACGTCGTTCTCTTTTGTAGGTTGCCGTGTGTTCGTATGTGGAGGTCAGGCCACCGAGCTGTCGGACGGGAGTTTGTCACGTCGGTTGATTAGTAGCATTATCGTTCGAGCGGTGACGGGCTTCGACTCGATGATCTGTTGGACGGGGTGTGAAATCTCCTCAGGCGGGGCTTAGCCTGTTGGCTGGCGGAGGGAGTACCACTGCATGCGGACAAAGACGGAGCCTCGGAGGCAATTAGTAGCCTCTCGTAGCATGGTTTTGGGAAAGGTTAATTCTTGTCGGACCGATGGAAGTGAATGCCCGGACGACTGACTTTGTCCCTGTATTTAGGCACTCGAGGTAACCCTCGGTGTCGGTATGGATGTGCAAAGCGGCAAGACGGGATGGGGTATTCTGGATAAGGAGGAAAGGGCGAATGCCTTGCTGAGACCTGGGTACCGCGCTTGCGACGGTTGAGCTGCGCTTGAGGTATGAGATAAAACTATACCGATAGTACCAGCGGAGAGACCATATTGGGGATGGCCGGTCTGGAGATGACCGGCCCGTATGTGAGGTTGCCTGACTTTTTTTATGTGTTCTCCCTCTGTAAAAATTGATTGAGATCGGACTGTTGGACGGGACATATTTCTAAGTCTATCCCCCTCCCCATCTAAGTCCACATGAGTGAGAGATGATCGGAAGGAAGAAGGATAGAGGTAAGTTTGAATGGAACCAAGAGAAAGAATGTGGGCAAATGGATGGCCAACCGAGGGAATTATGGGAAGGAGGTACTTAGGAATGGGGAGGTAAAATAAGAAGACCTTGATGAGGGGTCTGAAATAATTCTCATCTAAGGCAAGGGTTGACCTGACCAAAAGGACCGGTTGATGCTATTTTTATGAAAACAGGGGTCGGGTGCTGAAAACAAGATGGCGCGATGGTTGCCTTCCCCGATCTATACTAGCGGCCCGGAAATGTCAGTAGATGTAAAGGATGGGGTATCAATCGTCCTCCCGGAAAATGGAACGTGGACGGAACTTGAACCAGCATATCAAACGGTAATGCTGGAAGGAGAGGATGCTTTTCTTTGGATAGAAACAGTATGGACTAATGTCAGTTTGACGAGGTTGTCGCTAAGTTTAATGGATTTGGAATTCCGAGGGACAGTGGAAGCCCGGGGCTGGGTCTACTTGTCGCGAGATGGGGAGAAAGCTATGATCATAGAGTTGGCACTCGGGAATACACCGGACGAGTTGTTTAGGAAGGCAGAAGCAGAGGTTGCGTGAGCTGAATGTCAACGGAGGGAAATGGAAATGGAAAGGGTAGACGTACGGGTGGAACTTGGGGATAGGGGAAGCATGAGGCGACCCGTAAAAACCATGCGATGTGTGTTGCCCCCCTTCTTAGTGGATGCGATTTTCGGAACTCGGAGCAGGCTAGTACGGATATGCCAGTCCATGATGAACCTCGAGCTATACCAATGCCCTAGGCAAGATTTTTTTCGGTTATCAGTAGAGATGGGGCCGTTCGAGGGGAACTGGACGGAGGAGCTGGTCGAGATTCTAAACTGCCTTAGCATAGACAATATATTTGTCCCTAACGCTGTGCATTGGGGGATAGTGTACAGGAATGTGGCAATAGGCGAGACGTTTCTAGATGGGGTAAGGGAGTTGGTATACGACGAGGAGGACGACTTCAGTGATGAAGACGAAGATGAAGAGATAGAGGACTGAGACTTCTAAGAGGGGTGGGGTAACTTAAC